TTAATTCTTCCCATGTTATAACAAAACCTGACCAATTAAATAAACAATAATCATAATTTAAATAATTAAATAAACAATATTAAAAAAATGAAAAATTAACAATTGAATTAAATAATTAATTACACATTAGATAAAGATTCGATAAATAATTGAAATTAATACCTGGCCAATTTAGCATAACTCTCCTCGGTCGAACCCATCAAGTCCTCCAACGCACATTCTTTGGCCTTCCAAACCTTTTGATAGCCCATGACCACCCCGTACTCTTGATGAACGTCATTAATAATGTCCGAAGGTCTGTAAATTGTTTGTAGGTCCTGAAATTTGTGCATTACTTCTCGACCAATGAACCATGATCGGGCTTGCCTGTGATCATTTCGACGAATACCCACTTCACAAGTATGTTCCCGTGCATACTTACGAACCACAAAGAACTCATTCGTGTCCATTTTCGTTGCTCGCAAGCGCCAAAGGCAACTGTCGTCAACACAGACAATTGTGTAAGTCGACTTGTTTGATTTCTTCACTTTAAACTCAAAATTGTGTTTCAAAGAAATCCGGTGAACAGCTTCCTGCAAATCTTTCTTCGTGTCAAACAGTTACTCGACATACAAATCTTCATCATCGAGGACTATATGCGAATAATTAGAGGACCATGCACTCGGTCCAGCCTGTGAGCTCCCACTCGACGCATGTCTCAAACGGGATAAAGCAATCAAATTCTCATTCATAAAGTCATTATCTCTTTCGTTGTCTTGAACTACCGTGCAAATTCTGTGTGTAACAGTGACATCATGGTGAGGAGCAACTGTCTCTGGAACAGCTACAACATCATCACGCACTATTTCCACTGTGTCCCAAAATTCATTCACATTACGATCCCCTCCATCGAAATCTACCTGTTCACTCTCAGGGACATTCTTCTTCATCAAAGTTACGCAAATAGGAATCGCACGTTTCTGATTCATTTCAATTAAAACTTTCATTTCAGTTTCAGAAGTAACCGCTATAGGTGGAATTGAAACGGATGTATTCTCGCCCATCAGAAATCTCAATTCCATGGCGTACTCAAAAGGATTGACTTTCAACAAATTCTGTATCTCATTGTACATTTCTGCATATGATGTACTAGATGTTATTACAATTGCAGTACAATCATGTCTTTCACTCGTCCATTTCCACACCAATTGATCATTGTCATTATTTTTAAATTCACCAAAGTTACAAATTGGAACAGCAACTGATCACATATCTGTATTACGAAACATCATTTAATAAAAAAAATGTAATTACGAGAATAAAAGGACCAAAAAAAATTACGTGTAACAGTCGGCCCGGACAGTCCGGGCAGGCTAATAACAGCCTGCCCAAATTTGGGCCAGCTGTTAAACATCCGGTCCGGACACAAAAATTCGGCTGTTTGCATCTACGCAGATGAATTTTTTTCCTCCTTTTTGCTAAAAAAATTATTTTACATCAATTCAAGACTGTAATCTTTCATTTTTCTGAAATTATATGTTGAAATAAAATTTAAATATTCAAACAATGTATTAATTTAACTAAAAAATGAAATTAAACATACGTATTTATACTTACGAAATTCAAGTGCCGATTGTGAGTAATACTTTTTTATTGAGTTTTTGATAATTTTTTGAGATTTCAATGTTCAAGTAGATAGAAGAGGAGATTTCTTTTTAACTGGTTTGAAAAATCTGATAAGAAAGGTGATTTTGTTTTGAGATTTAAGTGGAATTGTTTGGATTTATTACTTTTTTAAAGAAGGTATTATTATCTTTTGGACAAATGATATGTTTTTGTAATTACAACACATAATAATGACAAAATTGACATTTACCCTTTAAAAGGTCATTTTGGTGAATGGCAAAAAAAATGTTGGTCTGTGTAAAATTGGTGTTATGACTTGGTTATTTTAAAAATTACCCCGTCTGATCGGTGAATACAACTGTCGCAGAAAGTCATTCAGTTTGGGGAAAAATTGGAGAGGGAGAATTCAAAGAAAAAGAGTACGAAATTTATACGCAAAAAATCAAATGTAATATCTTCCACAATATTCTCCTTTCGTTTTCTTGATTATTTCTATATCCATAACGATCGAATAAACGAAAGAAGAAATCCGAAGCCTCGATTAAAAATTTTCGAAAGATAATTAGGGTGGCAGGGTCCAGGCAAAATCACGAAAAAGAAAAATGATACATTGGTTAAAGCAGATAAAGATCGCTTTTGGAGCTTCGTTTCTATGGCTCGTTTGCTTGATTTACTTCACCCAGGTTCTCTTCATTCGGCAGATTAATTTTTATATTTTATTTTTTACATTGCTTCTTGATGGGGGTTTTTATATCTTGGAAATTGTTTAAATGTGGAGCGGCGGAATTTTTTTATGTGTTTATGAATTATTGATCCATTGATTTCTTGTTTAGATGTTCTGATTTTTGTTATATTATTAGTTTTCAATTTTTATACAACACATTTAGAATCTCTAATTCCGTATTTCCGTTCAGAGTTATTTAAAATTTCCCGGAATCTGTTGTTATAAATAATTATGATTAGAATTTCCGAAACTATCATCATTGACAATTTTCCAGTTTGGGGATCTTGTGCTTCAAGATTATTAAGGCAACTCCATTTGAATTGTATCCATACATGTTAAATTTGCTCCATTTCTGCGTAAAGCATGAATAAAATTTTAAATTTCACTTGATATCAGTTCTTCATAGTGATGAAATAAAGGAATTATAGTGGAAATTTGTATGGAAATGCTGTTTTAGCTGCCAGCAGTCGGCCTCGTGATGCTTTCTGTATCCTACATGTCCAAACCTTATTCTTTTAGCATGATTAGAGTGGCTATTCATGATGGTGCTAGTTCCCTTGTGAAGATAATTGCCTTGCGTACACTACAAGGTGATTTAAAATAAGTCATCATAAATGCATTTCTAACTCATAGATTACATGCTGTGGAAATTACCTACGAGTTATTAAAAGAAGGACTCTTTTATATAGAATTAACTGTCTTTTAAAAAGAGGAAGACCATATTTGCTAATAGCTATTGATTAGCATTATGGTTATGACCACTATTTTATTTTTTCAAAATTCTCTATGCCTTTCAATCAAGAATTACATTTTTCTTCATCAAATGGTGAAATTTGGCAATAACAATACTCACTGAATGACCTTAACAAAGCAAGCTGGAAGTATAGGATTCATGTACCATATACCGTACTAGAACTGAATATGGCTTTGGTCTGTCAGTCGAGCAGAGTCCAGAGACTTGTTAGGACAAAATAACATGAGAAAGTATATTACTGTGGTGAATTTGAGATGTAGCAGTTTTGATCAAATCAAGGAGCTAAATTTGGTTTGCATGTGTTTTTTTATGGGCTAAACTCAACCAGGGGCGGATTTACATGGTGTCTTGTGGGTTCAGCTGACCTCACAAATTTTTTTAAATTTAAGGGTTTCAAGGGTTTTATTTGGTGGAGGAAATGGAGTAAACGTGGCAAAAGAGGAGAATATGAAATTGGGTTTTTTGTGTGGATAGAGGAGAGAGGGATTGCTTGATTTTAGGGGAGGAAAATGAGTTTTGTGAGGGTGAATTGTTGGGTGGCCACCATTTCCATTGCTACAATTTCTTCCGTGTTTTTGAAGTGCATAAAAATTTGTGTTGATTTGGGGATGAATTTTGGATGGTGCTGGGATTTAGGCGGACGTTTCATGTTTAACAAATTTTTTCAAGGACCAAATTTGTGAGAGAAGGATAAAAAATAGCCTTACTTATTATCATTATTATTTATAAAAAAAAAATGTTTGGCTAAGCTTGAATAGTTTATTCGCTTAATTTCAGCAATGGTCACAAAAGTCTTTTAAGTTACATTAATGGTCATTGAATAGTTTATTTGGTTAATTTCATCTTTTTTTCGATAAAAACAAATTATTTCAATTGTGTGAGTGTTATCCCAAGATTTTACACTAGTCGAGATCTTGACACTTGATGAACAAATTATTGATATTCTAATTGTGCATATTGAGGACAATTTATTTGACAATATTGATAACAATACAACTATATGGCTTTTCAGAATATGAAAATGAGCAGGCAATGATTGTCATCAATGTTTTGTTGCTCGAAATTTATTTGTAACCTAAATTTTGACCCTACAATGAAAAGTGTCAGGCTCCGTCCCTGAACTCAACAGAGGGAAAATGTGGGGCAGATAAAATGCTTTTCTAATTAAGATTAACCAATGTGCAATGGATACCATCAAAGCTTCCAGTTTGCTAGATATCCACTGGCAAACTTTTGGTTATTGATTTAGTCATTTGTAACAACCTACCCTAGACATGATGGATAGGTCACTATGACATCAGTAATTCAAGATATGTTGGTGCTTTGTATGTCTTGTATTGAAGCGAACTTCCAAGAAATTGGTGGGCATTTCACTCCTAAGCAGCTAACTTCCGTGGGCATTGTCTCAGGAGTATTGTATAAAATGTTCGTGTGGTTCCTTAATTTTGGAAATCTTTTTTGATTTTGCTAATAATCATGCTTGCTGAATGTGCAAAAATCAAAACAATGGCAATGAACATTTTTCTGAGGTTCATATAGTAAATACCGACACTGTCTTTTTTCTCGATAGTCCCCTATTCATCACAGTCTATTAAGCATAAAATATTTTTTTTCACAAATTAGTTAGCTTCTGGGTGCAGAAAATTGGAATTAGTGGTTGTGAATCATTCTATTAGGGGTAAACTAAACTTCACTCAATAGTATATGATGGATCAATGATTTCGTATCATTTTGAACATCTCTTGAAGATATAATGACTATTGATGGTCATCTGTTGCATACTTATGTTCACTGAAGTTATATGTTGTAAATTCTAATCCTCACACTTATTTCTCCAT